ATCTGGCATCAGCAGATGTGGCTCTGGGCCCAGGCACAAGACTTAGGAAAATGCAGCTGAAATTCGGCCCGCATGAGGCTGGGTGCCGTTATGCAGTCAACAACCTGCACGGTGGCTCATGGCCACCCTGCAGGAGCCGACGCTGACAGCAACGCAAGACCTGGCCCTTCCTGGCACCAAGTATGCACTGGTGCATCCGAGTCAGGATTCTACCAGCGATGACTTCATGAAAACACAGAGCTGCGAGGACATGTCCCATTGCCAGGCCCTGGGCCCCGCCAAAAACCCACTTCCACCATTCCCACTTCACTGATGAGGAACTAAGGCTGGAGGCCACAGTCTTGGCACTGGGGCCTGACTGCAGACTCTTGAGCTCCTAATTCCTCAGGAAGGTGGACGTGTTCGGTCAGCACTGGGAGGAAAGGAGATGGAAGGGTGGACATCTTGCTCTCCTGTCCCCTCCTGAGGACTGGCAGCGCAGGCTAGGATGCACCAGCCTCCTGGCCTGAGGTCCCCTGCCTGGGTTTCAGAGGCTGTGCTGGCAGCAACCATGCGTGAGGGCGCCCAGCCATGTTGCTGCCTTTCAATGGACCATTAAAAAAAAAAAAAGTGGCCGGGCATGGTGGCTCATGCCAGTAATCTCAGCATTTTCACTTTGGGAGGCCAAGGCAGATCATGAGGTCAAGAGTCCGAGACCAGCCTGACCAACACGGTAAAAAACATTCTCTGCTAAAAGTATAAAAATTCGCTGGGCATGGGGTAGTCCCAGCTACTTGGGAGGCTGAGGCAGGAGAATTGCTCGAACCTGGGAGGTGAAGGTTGCAGTGAGCAAAGATAGTGCCACTGCACTCCAGCCTGGGTGACAGAGAGACTGTCTCAAAAAATAAAAAATAACAAAAAAAAAAAAAAAAAAAAAAATCTTTATGTATCTTTATTTGATACTGTATATATCTTTTTATTTAAAATGTAACTGATCAGAATTAGTTATGTTTTTCAGTGTGTTTATTTATTTATTTTGGTTTTGATTCAGCTTTTTATTGTGAAAAGATCTGAAACCTGCAGTGAAGTCACAAGAATCGTGAAATGACGCCTTCTGGCCCCAAGGGGTGGTCAGTTTGCTGGGCAGTACTTAGACCTCCCAGCCCCCGGCCTCACCCCATCTTCCTTGCCTCATTTTGGCCCCCACGCCTCCTGCACAGGAATGGGCTGCCCACTGGGCAGTTCTAGAATGGAGCAAGGCTCAGGGAAGGGGTGAGGATGTCTGCTTCAGACAATGCTTGGTAATTAAGAGGCCTCCTCTTGAGGCCATCCATGAGGTCCCTGCATCACATAGCTCCCAGCCAATGCCCACCCCAACAGCACAGAACCACACCCCTTCCACAGCCTCTGAGAATGCGGCAGTGAGACAGCCTGGCTTGGCCTGCTGTTCTGAGGTCAAGATCAACAGTGCCACCAACCAGTGCTCTCACACTTGTGTCTCCTTCCCCACCCAGACACATGCACACTGTCCCTTGTGGACAATGTATCATAGGATTACTCTACACATGACCCTACCTCTCTGCCTGCAGCCAAAGCCTGGAAAGTGAAGGGAGGTCCAGACAGACCCAGAGGGCCGGCCAAGGTTTCAGCGCCTTCCCCACATGCTCCAGCCTTTTAACTTAATGCACCCAAACATTAAGCACACTTGAAGGGCAGCCACTTTAACTTCCAGGATTGACGACTGAGTCCCAGGGTGACTGCAGCCTCTGGTCACCGGGGAGTGGGAGCCGTGATTACAGGCTGAAAGATGCTACTGAGATGGACGCCTTCTCCACTCCAGGGGAATGGGTCGGATGGGGCACCATGCTGGGCCCTACGCAGGGCAGCAGCTCTGCCTTCACACAGAAGGCACAGAACAGGGGTCAAGGCCTGTGAAACTCTGCTGAAAGATGAAGCAACACTTGTTGCTAAAAATCAGTAGGAGATTCTGGCCAGGAAGAGAGCCAAATCAGATGCACGACTCTCATGTATCTGACACTGTGCTGGACACTTTACATACAAAATTTAATCCTCACCAAGCTCGACATGGTTATGACTTTCTGTCTTAATCAGGATGGATGAGGGTCTGCTTCAGCAACAAACAACCCCCAAATCTCAGCAGCTGTACTGGAGAAAGATTTTATTTCTTGCTCATACTATCAACACATGCATCATGGTTCACGCGGCGGTCAGTGTTCTTAATTCCAGTCCCAGGAACCCAGATGACAGAGCTGCCACCATGTCACCAGTCACTATGCCGAAGGGCAGAGAGAGAGCTCTGGAAAGCATTGCACTGACGAGTAAATGCTTGGCCTGGAAGGACACACACCACTTGTATTCACATCTCATTGGCCAAAACAAGCTACATGCCTTCACTCACCCGCCAGAGAGCCAAAAAGTCCAATCCTGCCATATGCCATACTATTTCTGTAAAAAATGTACAGATAAGAAAATAGAAGGTCCGGGCACAGTGGCTCACGCCTGTAATCCCAGGACTTTGGGAGGCCGAGACAGGAAGGTCAAGAGATCAAGACCATTTTGGCCAACATGGTGAAATCCTGACTCTACTAAAAATACAAAAATTAGCTGGGCGTGGTGGCGGGCGCCTGTAGTCCCAGCTACTTGGGAGGCTGAGGCAGGAGAACTGCATGAACCTGGGAGGCGGAGGTTGCAGCGAGCAAATATTGTGCCACCGTACCCCAGCCTGGTGAACAAAGCGAACTCCCATTTAAAAAAAAAAAAAAAAAAAAAATACATAAAGAAAATAGAAGCTTACAGGTTAATGATAATGGCAACAACGGTGTTAATCACAGTTGCTTAGTACTATGTGCTGGGCACCGTCTCAGTGCTTCATGTGTTAACTCACCTCATCCCTACCCGGCCTTAGGTATAATCATCATCTACATCTCACAGCTTAGGAAACTGGGCAGGAGGTGTTAAGCAATTTGCCCAAAGCTACGCAAGGAACGGGGGCAGAGCCCTGGGCTCTGGCTTGCCGAGTCTGTTCCCATAACTACACTACGTGAGTTGACTGACCCAAGACTGGGGAAGGGGTGGTGTTCAAATCCACGCCATCTCACTCTTTACTGAGCACCAAAGGGGACAGAAGAGCTGTTAGCGGGGCCTCAGCCCTGTGTCCCCCAGCAGGTCCCAGCAACAGGACACCATCCTCTCTGTCTACCCTTTGAGCAGCCTTCTCCACCAGCTTCTCCACCAGGACACTGGGATCCCGAAGAGGATTACAAACCCAGGCAACACAAAACCCACTTCTCTCCTGTGGGTCACTGGTCCTAGTAGGGAGCAGCCTCTGTGGTCAGATGGGGAATCAGGGTTGAGAAAGTTCACCTTAGAGAAAGGACCTACCCAGGGCTTGCCTAGCTACTGGAAGACAGCATATGGATTTGGCCAGCTCACCAACATTTTTTTTTTTTTTAAAGAGAACCCATCTTGCTAAGAGGATAAGTCAGCTGAGCCCTCCCATGGGAGGAGCTGTCCAGGCCACACATCCAGCCCGCAGCAGGTGCAGAGGTGGCCATAATGGGCAGCACCCGTCTTTCTGCCCAGCGTCCCGTCTTCTTGAGTCGGGGCACCACAGAGCAAGTGAGAGGCCAAGAGCCACACCCAGGAGCTCCATCGTGTTGTCTTTTACTGATGTAACAGCGAGGAGCAAGACAGAAAAGATGCGAATGCCTAGGACCACACCACCTAACCAGGATGACCGGGGAGGAGGTGGTGGACGGGGACACACAGCGTAGTTCCTGGGGAACGAAAAACTCTTTTTCATCGTATGTGTAAGGCATAGATATGTGGTATTAAAATGCAATGAGGAGGCTGGGTATCAATTAGGAAAAAAAAGCCTAAAAAGGCTTAGGGGTAGGGAGGTGCCAACAAGATTGAGGATCACTGCAAACAGAACTATTTTCACTTTGGCATATTATTTTCAGTTTTTATCGCAAAACAAACACTTCTAAATTACTGCAATTGCAGAATATTGTTTTATACTGGTTTTGGTTGAAGTTTTCACATAGTTGCCGTTTTCCTATCCTTCACTCACTCCTGAACAAAGGCTGATGAAGGACCTGCAAGGGCAGGCATGGGGACCCAGCCTCCCGGAGCCCTCACAAACCTTCGTCTAGTGTCTTTGCGCTTGTCGACTGTAAACTGCAATGTCTGTGAAAACCTCCTATCACTATGGTTTACAAATCCATTCACCATAATTGTCTGAATTTTTATCCAAGGAAAAAAAAAGTCTTTGCTTCCATTGGTTCACTGTATTCTCTTGAGATAAATCCTTTCAAGAAAAGTGATAGTTTTTTTATGTCATACTGTCCTAAAAGTTCTGATTACCAGGTAGGCCACCCGCAAGCCACACTTAAACCACCCTGCAATGAAGAGGCTTCGTTCAGCTCAGGGAGGGGTGCAGCCCCTCTGCATCTGTCCAGGCCGACGGAAGCTGCCACCTGGCTTCTACCTGCCGCATCCGCTCCCTCTCAGCTTGGGGTTGCTGCCCTGGCTTCTTCTGGACCCCAGAGTTGGGAGTCATCTGCAAGCCCAGCTGCTGCTCCAGATGGGAGTAATGTCAATAAAATGGACACCACTGCTGTCACCACAGAGGGGACAAAAAGCTCAGTACTCAGGTTCACCCATCTGGCAAAGTAACTCATTTCCCTCCACTTAGCCAGAGCAAGCCAGAGGGAGAAACAAAGAGGGGCAGACAGACTGGATCCCTCCTAAGCAAACATGGTGTCCTGAGGAGGCCTCCCCCTGGACAGCAGGACTGGCCTGGCCCTTTGCAAACAGATGCAGCCTGAGGGTCTGGAGGGGGGCTGTCTCTCCTCCTGTCCGGTTCCACAGATGGAGCCATTAAAAGCACCCTGGCCTAGATATCACTTTCAATGACCCACCAGGAGTGACAGTCTTCCAGGAACACAAACACGCAGAACAGAACAAGAAAAGAAAAGAGCCAAGCGCTGGCCACTTACTGGTAGTGAATTTCTTTCTCCTGTTCTCCAGAAGCGCTGTTCTTCTCCAGGCTGTCGAGCTGATGCTGAATCGGAATGAGAATGCCTCTCAATTCTCAAAGCCCAAGGCACAACTCTGTCTTTCCCCACAGAGAGAGATGAGCGGGGGGAGCATAGCTGGCACCACCTCTTTGGACAATTGGGCAACATCTTACAAAATGACAAATGCATGTGCCCTCTGCCCCAGCATTTCCACTCCTGAAAATTTCCCTTCCATCACACCTGCACATGAGCGAGGTTATACACCGCAGCAGTTACAAAGCAAGGGATACGAACAACCACAATGTTCATGAATAAGAGGCCTGGTGAGATCTACCTGGGTACATTCACAGATGGAGTACTACACAGCTGTCAAAAAAAACTAAATGACTGGCTTTCTGCGCTAAAATGAAACAGCTGTGTATCAGACGTTACCTTTGACGTGTTAAAAACCACACTAATCACACACCCACATATGTCATATAGACACACCTACTGGCACGTGCACAAAATATCTCTGGCAGGCTGTGTAAGAACTCAGTTACCGCTAGCTATGGTGGAGAGAGCAGGGGAGACTGTTTTCACTGCACACCCTTCTGACCTGTTGAACTCTGTCCAAAGTGACATTATCTTCAAGCACCCTGCTGTACGTGAGTGTTTGTGCAGGAGCCCTGCCTACATTCTTTCATTCAATCCTTTCAACATCTTTATAAGGTCTCACTGTCCTGGTTGTACAGATAGCAAACTGAGGCTCTGAGAAGGTAAGTAATGTGCACACATCCTCAGTTTGGCTGGAGCCAGTATTCAAAGCTGTTTCACTCCAAAACAGCACAATGTGGGATATTTACAAAGACCAAGCACACTTCTGGATACCAACACCCCATGTGCCTCAAGAGAGTCATGCTGTTACAAAGTCTGATTTCCTATAGCAAACCTATGCCTGTCTTCCTGGGCCTCAGAAAAGGAGACAGCGCACGGAGACACACCTCCCTGCTAGGCTGAGTGCTGCACACTAGGCGGAGGACCAGAGCATACACAGCAGGCTTCCCCCGCCACCCCCTGCCTCTGCCTTCCTCCTGGCTTGAGAACAGCGACATCAGTCTGGGACAACCCCATGTGCCGGCACTCCCACCTCCGCATGGTGAGACCTGTGCCTGGTATTCATTCTCAGTGCCTCAGTTTCCTCATTTGTGAAACAGACACGAAAAGAATACACTAACCCCAAAGGACTGCTGAGGGACTAAGGAGGGAAGATGACGTGCAGAGCCGGGCACAGCGTCCAACAATTAGCTCCCTGTTTTCAGGGACTTTCGGTAGTACAGCTGTTCTCAAACTGGTCTTAGGATCTTTTTACAACTGAAAAATGAGAACCCTAAGGGGTTTCTGTTTATGTGGTTTTGCCTATTAGTATTTGCTACAGCTGAAATTAAAACTAAGCACAAATTTATATGTTAATTTAAATAATAAACCCATTATATGTTAACATAAATAACAAGTGTTTTTCTGTCACCCTGGCTGAAGAGCAACGGCATGATCTCAGCTTACTGTAACCTCCACCTCCCAGATTCAAGCAATTCTCCTGCCTCAGCCTCCCAGGTAGCTGGGATTGCAGGCATGCGCCACCACACCTGGCTTTTTTTTTTTTTTTTTTTTGCATTTTGAGTAGAGACGGGGTTTAACCATGTTGGCCAAGCTGGTTTCAAACTCCTGATCTCAAATGATCCACTTGCCTTGGTCTCCCAAAGTGCTGGGATTACAGGCACAAGCCACTGCACTCAGGAGTAACAGATGTTTTTCAGAAATGAATGTCCCAAGAAAAGATAAATATTTCAGGTGATAGGTAGCCCAGTTACCTGATTCGATCATTACACACTGTATATAGGTATTAAAACATCACAGATGCCAAAATATGTGCAATTGCTTTATGTCAATTTTTTTTTTTTTTTTTTGAGACGGAGTTTCGCTCTTGTTACCCAGGCTGGAGTGCAACGGCGCGATCTCGGCTCACCGCAACCTCCGCCTCCTGGGTTCAGGCAATTCTCCTGCCTCAGCCTCCTGAGTAGCTGGGATTACAGGCACACGCCACCATGCCCAGCTAATTTTTTGTATTTTTAGTAGAGACAGGGTTTCACCATGTTGACCAGGATGGTCTCGACCTCTTGACCTCGTGATCCACCCGCCTCTGCCTCCCAAAGTGCTGGGATTACAGGCTTGAGCCACCGCGCCCGGCCGCTTTATGTCAATTTTTAAAAAATTTTTTTTACCCAAAAATCAATTTTAAAAATGTTTGAGGATAGTGGCTGGATTCTCATATCCACTTTTGCACTAAATCTGTTGAACTGCACTGTTTTGACTATACAGTATAAAAGAAAATCCAACCTTACACAGATAGTTGGAAAAGGGAGATTTTATTTTCAGATAATTGTGGATACTCTTCTTCAAAGCTACACTAAGACTTGATGAGTATAGTGCCTTAAAGGTTAGCTGCAATGTGAAATCTGAGTCCGTATCAATGAACTTTTGTACTCAGTGGCATTCCCATCTGACAGCCTGTCCTGCACTTTGAAAGGATTGTTTACCCATGCGTGATTTTGTAACATCAGGCATTGGCCATTTGGAAAGCAACAGTTCACTGAGTTATGCACTCTGGAGAGAATGAGTGAAAAAGGGAAATAATGTGTTAGTATTACCATGAAAATAGTTTTGACCTTGTGGATCCCCTACCAAGGGAATCTCACGGATGCCCAGACCACACCTTGAGAACGCTGGGGTAGCAGATTTTTCTTTTTGAGACGGAGTTTCGCTCTTTTTGCCCAGGCTGGAGTGCGATGGCCCAGTCTGCGCTCACTGTACCCTGTCCCTCCCAGGTTCAAGCAATTCTCCTGCCTCGGCCTCCCAAGTAGCTGGGATAACAGGCGCACGCCACCACGCCTGGCTAACTTTTGCATTATTAGTACAGATGGGGTTTTGCCATGTTGGCCAAGCTGGTTTTGAACTCCTGACCTCCAGTAATCCACCCACTTTCGCCGGCAGGTTTTTCTTATCCTCCACACTAACCATTTTTGTTTTTAAGAACTCAGAAAAAGAAGCTTCTGTAGGAAGCGTGGTGGCCTATGCGGGGGGTCTCCATCCCGTCTGTACTATGATGCAGGCTCTGGAGCCTGCTGCCACCGTAGGCAGCTGGACTCCGTATACCCTCTCGCCCACTGCTGGCTGCCTCCCTCTAACGACCTGGCCCTGCCGGCTCTTCCCTTTACCATCAGAAGCCTTCCTCACCCACAGGACCTCCTCATCCTTCTCCAAAATAACAGACCTCTGGGGTCTGCAGAGGGCAGGCCCTCCAGCAGCAAAGTACCGGGGCCTTGAGTGGACTGCTACACTTGGGCTTTGCAGTTGATAATTCTTGGTCTCCTGAAATTACATGTGTATGTATATTTACAGCAAAAACATGGGTGCGCATAAATAGCCAGTCCTTCATGTACACATTTTTAACATGTTATTTAGCCACCAAGCTCCACTGCATCCTCCTTCCTGGAACCTAGAATTGGGGTTTTCCTTCCCAGTCCTGCTCTCACCACTGCAGGCCAGGTTATGACCGGGCTCCTGAACCATCTCTTCCCACACCTACCAACCCAGTGCCAAATCCCGAGTTCTGCTGCTCACAAGCCTTCAAGGCTTTCACACCCAAGCCTTGTTCAACCATTTCCTTTTCCAGCTTTGTCCCCGCTCCCCCACTCAACTTTAGCTCTTCCCCTCCCTTTCCCTCATTCTCCCTGCTCAGCCCCACACCTTCCCCTCCGTAGTCTCTCCTTTCACAGCTGCACCCCACGTCTGGATTTTACATTTGTCAGCCTTGTACATGGTACAAGCTCAGAAAAGGAATGCAGTAAATATAATGAAATCCGAACACCTACAGGGTGGTGGCCCATGCTATGCACAGGGCACAGGGCATGCGGTAACTAACAGAACTGTGTCCTGTCTCCTAGAATGAATGTTTTTCTGCCCTCTGTCTGTGCTGCAGCACTGTAGCCTTTCTTCTGCTGACCAGCACTGTTCACTCCTCAGGTCACGCGTACTGTGCCCTTCTCTCTAGTGGCAGCTCAAGGACAGTGTTCTGTGTCATCTTTGCTGCCTAGAATTGATTAGATGCTTAATAAATACTGCTCAATGAAACAGGGATTAGCCACAATACCCAAGGGAGAAAGAATCAAGATGATCCAGAGATCTGTTGGACATATGTGAGAGTTCCCTGGTGCCTGCCTGGGGCCGCCATATTATGTGCAATATAATCAATGTGTATCCTGTTTAAACATTTTATTATTTATTTATTTTGAGACATAGTCTCGCTCTGTCACCCAGGCTGGAGTGCAACGGTGTGACCTTGGCTCACTGCAACCTCCGCCTCCTGGGTTCAAGAGATTCTCCTGCCTCAGCCTCCCAAGTGGCTGGGATTACAGGCATCTGCCACTATGGCCAGTTATTTGTATTTGTATTTTTTTTTTTTTTTTTTTTAAAGTACAGATGAGGTTTTGCCATGTTGGTCAGCCTGGTCTCCAACTCCTAACCTCAGGTGATCTACCTGCCTCGTCCTCCCAAAGTGCTAGGATTCCAGGTGTGAGCCACGGTGCCCAGCCAGGTGCAATGGTTCACACCTGTAATCCCAGCACTTTGGGAGGCTGAGCTGGGCGGATCACCCGAGGTCAGGAGTTTGAGACCAGCTTGGCCAACATGGTGAAACCCCCTCTCTACTAAAAATAGAAAAATTAGCTGGGCATAGTGGCCTGCGCCTGTAATCCCAGCTATTCAGGGGACTGAGACAGGAGAATCGCTTGAACCTGGGAGGCGCAGGTTGCAGTGAGCCGAGATTGCACCACTGCACTCCACCCTGAGGGACAGAAGGAGATTTCATCTCAAAAAAAAAAAAAAAAAAAAAAATTTTTTTTTTAATGCCAGATGGGAAAGAGCAAACCTTAACTCGTTTCTGGATGGTATTCCACAAACCAGACACAGCAAAGCGGAGATACCAACCTTCTGCAGCCTAACAAGGCCATTAGATGCTAAAGGTCCCTGGTTTCAAATCCCAGCACTGCCGTTGTTACCTGTCAACCTGGTCCAAGGGGCTAGGTGCCGTGGCTCACACTTGTAATCCCAGCACTCAGGGGGGCCGAGGGAGGCAGATCACGAGGTCAGGAGATCGAGACCATCCTGGCCAACATGGTGAAAACCCCATCTCTACTAAAAATACAAAACTTAGCTAGGCGTGATGGTGTGTGCCTATAATCCCAGCAACTTGGGAGGCTGAGGCAGGAGAATCACTTGAACCAGGGAGTTGTTGGAGGCTGCAGTGAGCCAATATTGCACCACTGAACTCTAGCCTGGCAACAGAGTGAAACTTTGTCTCAAAAAAAATAAAAAGAAAGGCCGGGCGCGGTGGCTCAAGCCTGTAATCCCAGCACTGTGGGAGGCCGAGGAGGGTGGATCACGAGGTCAAGAGATCGAGACCATCCTGGTCAACATGGTGAAACCCCGTCTCTACTAAAACTACAAAAAATTAGCTGGGCATGGTGGCGTGTGCCTGTAATCCCAGCGACTCAGGAGGCTGAGGCAGGAGAATTGCCTGAACCCGGGAGGCGGAGGTTGCGGTGAGCCGAGATCGCGCCATTGCACTCCAGCCTGGGTAACAAGAGCGAAACTCCGTCTCAAAAAAAAATAAGAAATAAAAAGAAAAAAAGAAAACTGGTCCAAGATACTTAAATTCTCTAAGCCTCAGTTTTCTCATCTGAAAAATGGGGGTGAAAATAACTGTTCCTACTGCAAGGTACCATTCTCAGAATTAAGAGAGAATACGTGTAAAGAGTGTAGCACTCTTCCGTGGGACACACAAATTTTGCTCAATTCATGACAGCTGCTGTTATTAATGTTACTGTTGTTGATGTCCATGGATGTGGACTTGATTCCTGTGATCATGTTACCCTACGTGACAGAGACTTTCAGATCCAACTAATGTTTGCTACATATGTAATTAACGGTGTTACTAATCAATCAGTTGACCTTAAAAAAGGGAGATTATCTGGGTGGGTCTGATCTAGTCAATAGGCCCTTTATGTTATTATTTTTGAGACAGTCTTGCTCTGTCACCCAGGCTGGAATGCAGTGGCATGATGTCAGCTCACTGCAACCTCTGCCTCCCGTGTTCAAGTGATTCTCCTGCCTCAGTCCCCCAAGTAGCTGGAACTACAGGTGTGCGCCACCACACCCGGCTAATTTTTGTATTTTTAGTAGAGACAGGGTTTCCCCATATTGGCCAGGCTGGTCTCGAACTCCTAGCCTTGTGATTCGCCCACCCTGGCCTCCCAAAGTGCTGGGATTACACGCGTGAGACACCAAATAAGCCCTTTAAAAGCAGAGTTTAAAAGCATAGCGTAGGTTCTCAATTTCATTTAACAAAGTTTCAGCTTTGTGGGTAGTCAGAACTACATGGCTTACAGCTTCAGAGCTGTCCCAGCAGCCAGGTACAATTATCTGGGCAAAACCCAGCAAAGTCCTTTTTTTTTTCCACCCAAACTCCGGGTACTGGAAGTGATTACAGAAAGCCACCCAGCAACCAGGGTAGGTTTGTGTCCACATGCAAACGCGTCTTGCTTTGTACAACATGGGACCATGTGCGGTGGCCACTGCCTCAGCCCGCAGCGGCCTCCCAGGGCTCAGCTAACCAGTCAAACCCTGACATTCTGCTTGTAATTGTACCTCACAGTAAAAAGTCCTCGTTGGAGTGGTAAAAATAGCAACTGCAACTTCCTGCAATACAGATATACCAGTTGATGCCTGAAAGGAAACCTGGTGATTCGACCTCACAGCAACTCAGCGAAATAAATGCCTTCAAGCTGTGCTCAGAATGGCAGTGGGGCAGGAGCCCAGCAAGGACAGCCCACCCACCACCCTGTCCCAAGAGGACCCAGGCAAAAACAGCTCTGGAGTGACATGCTTCCCTTACTCTCTTAACACTCAACTCTCAGAATCAGGAGATGTCTAATAAATGCAAAAACTGCTTTCAGTGAGGACCCCCCCCCCCCCCCCCCCGCTTTCCCTCCTACTGCTCACTAGCTGCAGAGGTATAAAGGCAGGTGGCCTCCCTACCGAAGCCCTTTGAGGGACCCATTGTCCCCTTGGTTACCTTCCCCTACCTACATCTGTCCCTGAGGCTGTTCCAAGTAGGTCAGGCTGGCTGGGATCACAGGAGCCTACTCTGGGGCCTGATTCTGAGTCATCTCCAGGGCAGCAGGGGAATCATGGCCCAACCTGGATATTGCTTCCTGAAGGGTGAGCAGAGCCTGGCCAAAACGTCCCCAGGTACCTAACCCTAGGAGTACTGAATTCCTCTGGGACCCAGGCCATGGTAGCAGGCCCTGGCTCCTCTATCATAAGGCCTGATGCCTCCTGGGACCACACAGGCCTGGTTTTCCCCGGCCCCAGAGTTTGCCTTTCCTTCTCCCTCCATCTCCACAGCTTTCCCCTCCTTTCGTCTCCAAATCAAATACAAGGGCCTTCAGGTAAATCTTTTGCTTGTTTTCAAGCCTCTTGTTCCAGGTAAACAAATAAGGACACCCACGGACATTCACAAAGTTCTTGTTGCCCCAGCCCTTGGGCTCTCCCAACAAGTAGCCAGGGTTTGGTCTGTGGTGGCCACTGCCCCCTTCTAGACCTTTTTCTGGACCAACTAGGGAACTCTCTCTGGCTCATTTCTTTATTCCTGCAGACAGGTGACAGATCACCAACTGGGCCAGCCCTCTGTGAAGAGCTCTCGAGCCCAGCCAGATGATTCTCTCAGCCAGGTAAGCTCCCGTGCATCTCTGGGACACTAGGCAGACACTGCTCACCTAAAGCCAGCTCTGCTGCACATGGGCAAAGTCACCCTAGTTCCTCCCCTGGATACAATGGCTGTTTAGAAACACCTGAATTCACTCCAATGTTCCAGATATTTCCATTTCCCTAGTAAAAACCATGCGTCTTCATGTTTGCAGAGCTTTTCAGCATAAAATGAACTTTCAGGAATGTTTCCCCATGCACAATGTACAGCAGCCTAGTAGGGGGCAGGGTTGGGCAGGGATTAAAGGGCCTCATTTCACAGATGAGTCCCCAGCTGAGGTCAGGAGACCAATAAGCAGCAGAAGCAGTACTCACTACACTTTGAGCTTTTGGAAAAACAAAAGTGGACTAGAATCAAAGGATAAAGCCTGAATAAACTTTTTTTTTTAAATGGAACAATGAGATTCCACTCTCCATCACATTAGCTAAAACTAAAAATACAAATATCAAAAATTCTGGGGCCGGGCGTGGTGGCTAACGCCTGTAATCTCAGCACTTTGGAAGGCCAAGGTGGGTGGATCAGCAAAGGTCGGGAGTTTAGGACCAGCCTGACCAACATAGAGAAACCCTGTCTCTACTAAAAATACAAAATTAGCTGGGTGTTGTGGTGCATGCCTGTAATCGCAGCTACTCGGGAGGGAGGCTGAGGCAGGAGAATCATTTGAACTTGGGAGGTGGAGACTGCAGTGAGCCAAGATCATGCCATTGCACTCCAGCCTGACAACAAGAGCAAAACTCTGTCTCAAAAAAAAAAAAAATTGCTAGTGAGTCTGTAGAGAAAAATGGGCACTCAGACACTATTATTAGTGGGAGTAAACTGGGTAAGTCTTTGCAGAAGGCATTTGGCTTGGACAATGAAAATTTAAAATAATCACTCTTGCTCATAAAGATGCATGATCAAAGATGCAAGATTTCATTGATCAGACAGGGAAAATGAGGCATGATCCAAAGTCTCTCCTCTGGACACAATGAGAGGAAATGACGGTTTGGCTGCAGTCTGGAGTATGATGGCAATGTGAAAAATGAAAGAGCTCCACCACACACTAAGCAGAAGTTGTAGAGTACTGAGTATGATTCAAATTATGTAAATGCAAAATCTGCATGTACAGTGGAGGACTAGAAGGGTAAGCACCCATCTGTGGACAGATATAAAGGGGGAGATACACCCTCACACTGTGCTCCATCTTTTCCTCCATTTTTCATGTATAAAAGAAATCCTAGCTGGGCGTGGTGGCGTGCACCTGCAATCCCAGCTACTTGGGAGGCTGAGGCAGGAGAAATGCTTGAACTCAGGAGGTGGAGGTTGCAGTGAGCTGAGATCGTGCCACGGCACCACAACCTGGGCAACAAGAACAAAACTCCATCTCAAAAAAAAAAAAAAAAAAAAAAACGAACCGAGATCTATTGATATATTATTTAAATCAGAGAAAAACAATGAAACAAAAGAGGACAATGTTATCCTTAGTCTCCCCCTGCACCAGAGGCCGCAGCTCCTCTCTGTGCTCCTCGCCTCTCCCTCTGCAGCCCGCGCTGGCCCAGCCTCTGCATGAGCTGTGCTCCCCACCTGGCATGCCTTTCTCAGATCCTCCCATGGCTGGCTCCAATGCTACCACCCCAGCAAGGGCTTCCTTGACACCTCTTCTGAGTGCATCCTCCCGTGGCCACCTTCCTACATCTCCCTGTCCACTTCCTCTGCAGCTACATATTTTGTCAGTCTGTCGTCTGCCTCTCCCAGCTGAATGTGGGATCAGGAAGGGTGGGGGGGACCGTGCCTTGTTCTCCACTGAATCCCAGAGCCTGGCAGAGAACAGACAGGGAAAAACAATTCCCTGGACACATTTGAAATGAGGAAACCAACAGTCTTCCTCCTTACCTCATCAATGAGGAAACTGAGGCAGACTTTCAACATGCCCACTGTTCAGACTCCAGTGCTGTGCCATACCCGCCTGTCTGCTTCCCACACCAGACACTCAGTTCCCAAGTAGGAACTCTCTGAACCTGACTTTCCTTCCTCAGCTTCTAGTCCAGGCCGAGCCATTCAGAAAACTAAATAAATGTTTGTTGCGTGAATAAAGATGGATACCTTTCTCCCTCAGATTTCCAAGCCAGTGAACAACGGAGGCATTCATAAGTTAAGGGACTTGCTGCCAAGGTCTCACAAGCCCAGCTAGGGGGCAGGACAGGAGCTCTGCACAATGGATGAAATCGCCATGGCTTTCTAGAAAAGGAGCTCCCCCATTTCTTGGCTCTCAAATTCTCTCAGGCCAACTGGCCCCGGCAGCAGCTAACCTGGCTGGCAGCTTGTCCTGGGGTTTGAATGAGCAAAGCTTCTCCTTAATAGGAAATTAATTCTGCTCAGCCTAGATGGATCTGTGGGCAGCCTCTCCTTAGGATGCCAAGGGGAGCAGGCAAAAAATATAAGAGGCTTTTCTGTCTCCATCCTACCCCTGCAACCTACCCCTGACCACACAGCTGATGGTGGAAGGCTCCCCCTAGCAGAGGTGGGTGGGGAGTGACACCTAAGGTGAATGTGGCTCTCGGGCTGGTGGAAGCAGGCACAGCACTCCGCTCCCATGGCCTGCTCAGCCCTGCTTCCCTGTGGAAGGAGCCATCCAACTGGTCTTGCAGGCTGGTGCTCAGCCACCTCCTCCTGCCCCCTGGGCACCGTCAAGATCCTTCTTTCTTTTTTTATTTTGAGACAGAGTCTTACACTCTGTTGCCCAGGCTGCAGTGCTGTGGCGTGACCTCAGCTTACTGCAACCTCTGCCTCCAAGATTCAAGTGATTCTCCTGCCTCAGCCTCCCAAGTAGCTGGGATTACAGGTGCCCGTCACCACGCCTGGCTAATTTGCTCAAGATCTCCCTTGTTCCTCAGAGCTCCTTGTCCAACTCTGCCAGGAGGTGGCCTTGGCTCTGTGCCCAGGGGACATCCCACCAGTGAGGTCTCGTCCTAGCCATTCCAGATGCTCCCATGGCTACTGCCCAGCTCCCTGCCCAGGACCAGCCACAGCGGTGGCCTTGGGAAATGAGTAATCCACACACCACCTTCATTTGAGCCCACCCCTGCTCCCCTAAGCCCGACCTGGTGCTTTCCTGATTCGGTCTTCTATCTCCACCAGCTCCTTCCAGGAGGCCTCAAACTCTAAGGCAGTGGGCAGGGGGAGGAACTGCAGGAGGCTCAAGGAGAACAGCCCCATCCCTCTGGAGTTACTGGGAAAAGCTGACTCAGTCTCCATTCACTGAGAAAGAAAAGGAACCCAGCAGTTTGCCTACGTCACCCCTCTCATTGTACAGGTGGAAAAACTAGACCCCAGAGCAAGTAACCAATTCCCACAGCACATCCGAGGCAGATCTGCAACCAGAACCCCATTCCTGGCTGACTTCTAAGTCGGCCTCTCTGCACGCTACTGGCTGCTCAAGCGCTTCTGCCCAGAACCACTAGGCAAGTTACTCAAGCCTTATCAAACTGCTGAATGCCAGCACCTGCAAGAACTTTTGAAATGTTACAGCAAAACATTTAATAGAAGTATTACACCGGAGAGCAAAGTGAGGCTCACAGAGGTGAGGGAACCTGCATGGAGTCACACAGTCAAGCAGGGCCAAGGAGGACTTTCCTGCTCCCACTCAAGTGCTCTTTCTGCCAACAGGTTCTGAGGGTTCTAGCTATGGGATGGTGAACAGATGGAGTTGGCCTCGGGCCTTGGTCACACTGAAACAAGAAGTGGCTCAGGTGAGCCTCATACAGACTCTGTATCCAACTCAGGGCGCAGGAGACCACTGTGGGAGTAAAGTATGGCTGGGAAGGTTTTTATGCATTTGCAGAAAATATGGTGCATTTGGATTTCTGAGCCCACAGAGCTGCTATTGGCATTTTGGGAGGCCGAGGCGGGTAGATCACGAGGTCAAGAGATCGAGACCAAGCTGGCCAACATCGTGAAACCACGTCTCTACTAAAAATAACAAAAATTAGCCAGGTGTGGTGGCACGAGCCTATAATCCCAGCTACTTAAGAGGCTGAGGCAGGAGAATCACTTGAACCTGGAAGGTAGAGGCTGTGGTGAGCAGACTCATGCCACTGCACTCCAGCCTGGTGACAGAGCAAAACTCTGTCTCAAAAAAAAAAAAAAAAAAAACAGGCCTGATGCAGTGGTTCACGCCTGTAATCCAAGCACTTTGGGAGGCCGAGACAGGCAGATCACTTGAGGTCAGGAGTTCCAGACCAGCCTGGCCAACATGCCAAAACCCTGTCTGTACAAAAATACAAAAATTAGCCAGGCATGGTGGTGTATGCCTGTAATCCCACCTACTCAGGAGGCTGAGGCGGGAGAATCACTTGAACCCAGGAGGTGGAGGTTGCAGTGAGCTGAGATCGTGCCACTGTAATCCCAGCTGCTCGGGAGGCTGAGGCAGGAGAATCACTTGAACCTGGGAGGTGGAGGTTGCAGTGAGCCGAGATCGTGACACTGCATTGCAGCCTCGGCAACAGAGCAAGGCTCCGTCTCCAAAGAAAAAAACCAAAAACCAAAAAACAGGTCAATAAGTGCCACACAGCTACTGTTTATCATCCAACAGCGTTCTAGGACATAGCTTGGAAGGAAAGGCTTAGCAGTAAAAAAAGTTTGGCAAGAGAGGGAGGGTGCAGGGGTAGGGGGAGGTGACTGGGGACGCAAGTCAGCTGCAGAGCAACAAGCACCCAACCTCAATTCTGCACCCAGAGGACCAAAAAAAGGGGAAAAGGGAGCATGACATGACTGACACCCACCTGGTGCTAGGCCCCATTCTAGGGGATTCTGCATAGTATGGTGGTTAAATCTTTACCATAACTCTGAAAAAAGCTAACACGGCTCAATGAGGTGAAGGAACTTGATCACGGACCCACAGCATTTGAAACCCAGTCTGGTGCCAGAGCCCATGCTCTTTCCACTGCCCTTGGGTTAAAAGGGCTTGATAGGGAGCCCTTCCTATCCCTGAACCCCTTCTCTTCCCCACCTAATCCCACTGTACCCCCTCCCCAGCTCCTAACAGCCCCAGAAGGACCTGGAGGCAGTCTCACAAGATGACACCTTGAGGATGACAGATACTCAGCTTTTGACACGTTTAGGTTGGTATGGCAATGAGGCGATCCAGGAAAGGGGTTGGAACCTGCTGTAGGGGCTGGGCTGACTTCCATCACCTGGAAGATACTGATTAATAACTGATTGATAGTTCCTGATTGATACTGATTGAAAACTCCTGCTGGGATGCTGTTACTGAAACTGTGGATGCTTAAGTTCTCCCTCCTCCCTCCTCCCCCATACCTCCCTCCTCAACCCCTAGCTTGTTCCAACTAAGTGTTTCCTGGTGGGAAAAATGCCTTTCAACAGCCTTGGCTGGCTGAGACAATTAAATTATAAAATTTACCACATTAGATGAAAACCAGCATCTCAATCAGGCGATTCATTTGTGTCTGGCCACTCTGTTTTCTTGTGCCAGCTCTGCCCACAATGGCCAGGCTATGTCTACACTGCTTGCTGGTACAGAGTGACTATGGGCTCAGACAATGCGCTGGTCTTTGGGATCAGGAGGGTAGGTTCTCCGAGGAGCCCCCCCCCCCCCCCCCCCCCCCCCCCCCCCGCGAGAAAACACAATGCATCTACAAGCCATCAAGTTTCCTGCAAACGCCCTGGACTGCTGACGGTGTGGCCAGGACTACAGACAGAGCGAACCTTCCACCACCTTCCACTTGCATTTTCAAGACTTCAACCTGTGCCTATCTTGAGGTTGCCAATTGAGGTCGTCAATGCCTCTGGGAGAAATATGGGTGAGCGACAGGAGAAAGCTAGCCGCCCTGTGCCTGGAATCTGGGCTGTGGCACGCCTTTCGCTTCTTAATCAAAGCATCCTCTCTCCAGGAAGAGTATCCTCTCTCCTCTTGCTTTCTCTGTCACTATGATGTGCCAGCACCCCCTCATCTAGGTGCTCACTAAAGGTAGAGTCTCCAGCACCTAACCTAGGGCCTGGCACACAGCAGGTGCCCAGTCAAGTCTGTTCAAACAATTAAGGAATAAATGAATCAGTAACTCTTCCTACCCTTCCCACCTGCCGCTGCCCAAGTGATAGATGGGAAGAACCAAGCTTGCTTTCACTGGGTAATTGTTCTGTTCTTCCTGCTCTCTTCCCACACCGGCTACCCACAGATTTAAAACGCTATCAAGGGGCATCCGGCTGCAGAACCTGCCTTCGATGTGGAGCGTACAACTTGCCCACAGCTCTTCTTTCCATATGACACACATAAATCCAACTGCAGCCCGAGACCCAGGACGAAGGTGTCTTCCATTTCCACCTCGCTTTTATCAACCTCCCTGGAGCCTGACAAACGACTCAAAACTGAAACAGCTGCCGGGCCGGAAAAAGACTGACTCCATCAACCTTCACAGGCACAGCTTGTGGACCCAAGGGCCCCCGGTCTTAGGACACCAAGTGGACCCCGAGGTGGGGTCACTTTGTGCCCTACTCTTCCCCAGACATCAATGCAAGCCTTCACCGACACCCCAGGAAAGCTCACAGCTCAGATAGGCACACTGAGCATCCGTTCTCCCTATGAATGGGGAGACTGGGGCCCAGGGTCCAAAGGGCTTGGCCCCATCACAGTCACTGGAATCTGCTCCAGAATACAGACCGTGGGATCCTGCCTCCTCTTCTTGTGCCACTACTAACTTCCTTCCCTCCCTCCCTCTATTGCACCGACAGAGTGAAACCCAAAGGTCCAGACACCTGGCATTCTCTGCCCTGATTACCGGGGAGTCAAAGCCCAGCCTGCCTTCCCCAAGGTCAAAACCACCAGGAACCAAGAGCGTCCAGATTAAACCTGCAAGGGCCTGGGTCCGCCCCCTCACCCACAGTCCGTTGGGTCAGGCCTCTGGAGAGATTTTTCTTTGTTCAAAGACAATGGGAATGGACTTTGGGGGCTTTAGAGCAGGAACACAAAAAAAGTATCTGGTGTCTCCAGGGCACCATCCGCAAAAGAAAAGCTTCTAAACCAACTATGAAGGAGTCGGGGTGGGGTGGGGGTGTGGGGGCGTAACACTGCGCGGTGGTGTCTCGGAGCCAGGGCGAGTGTGGGCAGCAGAGTCAGGATGGAGGGCTTGCTCTGGACCTGCCAGGTTGGCCTCCACCCAGGTGGACAGGTGGGTGTGCCTCCGGGAGCGCGGCCTTTCTCTGCCGCTGGACAGTGCTGCAACCCGAAACGAGGGACCCCGGCAGGTCGAACGTGAACGGCCCGGGGCTCCGGGGCCAGGCCCGCGCAGACCCTTCCCTCGGGAACGCCGGGCCCTCGCCCTGCGCAGGGCGGGCAGCCATCGCCCGGGCGTCCGGGGCGCGGGGCTTCGCCGCCCGCGTCCTCAAAGACAAGCAGTGTCTCTTTCCAGGATCAACAGTAATTTTTTAAAAAGAGAGTCTGCGGACTCAATGAATCAACCACTCCCCGGGGAACGAGCAGCGGCTCCCGCGCGCACCATCCATTTGCCAAACAATTCATTCCCCCGCGCGGAGCTCTCGGCGACTTCCCTCGCGGGGCCGCGGGGTGCCGGCCGCCCGCCGCCCCCACGCCGGTCCCGGGGCCCCCGCCCCAGCCGCGCGCGCTCCTCCCGGGACGCGCAGCCCCGCGGGGGCTCCGAGCGCTCGGTCCCGGCCCGGCCGGCGCGGCGAGTCCCCAGCGCAGGGAGCGGGGGCGCGGGTGCAGCGGCCAAAGCCCGGCGTCCCCGCCCGGCGCGGACACTCACCGCCGCAGGCGCTCCCCGCCGCCGCCTCAGAGACGCCCCCGCCGCCCGCGCGAGCTCCGCAGGCCCCGCCGCCGCCGCGTCGACCAGCTCGCCACAACCCGAACGCTCCCGCTGCGCTACCGCCGAGGCGCCGCCAACAAACTAGTTTCTCCGGCCTTCCCGCCCCGCCTCCCGGCCCGAAGCGCAGCAGCCAATCAGAGGCAACGCCTCTGTGACGGATGGGCGGCTGAACCCGTCAGTGCAGCCGCAGAGGACAAAGGGGTGGGCGCCCAGGCCGCGCCGGCACCGCGGGGGAGGGAGGCCGGGGGCGGGGTGGGGAGAGGAGAAGGACTTCGACCAGATTCTTAAAGAGACAGGCGCCTGCCCGCCCCCGCGGCCCAAGTGTGGGAACGAAGCGCGGCGGCGTCCTAGAGCTTTCCGGAGGGAGGGAGCGTTGTAGACGGCGCATGCCTCTTACTTTTGTATTCGGGTCACAAGTGCGTAGGTCTCTTTAGACCCCGCGGAGCCACACTTGTAGTGGCCCGAGTGTTAATGAAACCCTTTCTTTCCCTCCGGGCTTGTTGAATGTTGGGGACTTTCTGCAGTCCCCAAACCCCACCTGTCCTTGCAATCTGCATTTTTCGGGGTATTTCACACCTCCTCTCTGTGTCATTTCTCACTGAACTCCTTTTGTAGGCCAGGCTTTAAACGTTCATTCATCCATCCATCCATCCAATAATTTCTTCCAGGAACGTTTCCTGGACGCCCAGACCCTGCGCTCGTCTAGGAGGGGGAGAACTGTGTGTGATTCCTCCTCTTCCCTCCTGACCGCTACTTCAACTTGCTGTATGTGTCCAATCTCGTCTGTAAAGCGGCAGAAAAAAAAAACTCCTCATCGGATTATTTGGGGTATTAAAGGAGACAAACTCCCAGACAAAATGAGTACTCAATAAATGCTCTTTCTTTTCTCCCTCCCAATGAGAATCCGTAATTCGAGGAGGTCGCTTAAGGATACAAAAGGCGTCGGGCGCGGTGGCTCACGCTTGTAATCCCAACACTGCGGGAGGCCCAGGCGGGTGGATCACGAAGTCAGTAGTTCAAGACCAGCCTGGCCAACACAGTGAAACCCCGTCTCTACTAAAAATACAAAAAAAAAAATTAGCTGGATTTGGTGGCAGGTGCCTGTAATCCCAGCTACTTGGGAGGCTGAGGCAAGAGATTCACTTGAACCGGAGAGGTGGAGGCTGCAGTGAGCCGAGATCACACCACTGCACTCTAGCCTGGGCGACAGAGCCAGACTCTGTCTCAAAAGAAAAAAAAAGGATACAAAAGATAAAGCATAGAAAGTGGTAAGAATGTAAGAGCCAAGTCTGGGGCGGGGAGATGCCCGAGAAGCAGAGGTCACCCTGACGGAGGTCAGAGGTACAAAGGAACGCTTAAGGAAGTGGGTTTGGGAGAGGGGCTAAGATTGTGACCTGGGCAATAGAGCCCCTGGGTAGAAGGCTGCTTAGAAGGGACAGAGATTCCAGGCTTAAAAGACTGAGAGAAGATGAGAAGATACCACCAGGGAAGGCATTTTTGGGAAACAGTTTGATGTTCTGGGTTTGAAGCGCCGCCCTGCCCCTCAAGAGCTGGGTAAGACTGAAGCAGATGGCTCAGACTCTGAGTGTCTGGTTCTTAATGGTGAAGAGGATTCTAAAACCTTTCTTGCAGTGGTATGGGAAAGAGTAAATAAGATAACATATGGAATAGGCCTGGCACCTAAGTGTTCAATATAGATTTGGGCTTCTGTTTGGCCCAGATCTGCAGACATCTAAGACACCAGGGCTCTGATATTTATGAACAGCATGGGCCAGAGGTAAGAAGCTGGCCAAGTGTGTTGTTAAGGTGCCTTCGGAAGGGAAAAGTTAGCATCAAAGTAACTGCTTCATTAAAGAAATGACAGAGATCCCATTTGTAGTTTTATCATCCTGCCAATTTTCTAGCACTAGAGTGTTTATAGAATTGTTGGTTGAATGAAGCTCCATATGCAAAATTGATTCTTGGCAAGTTTATAACTGCTGCTTATTATTCTATACAGGTTTGCTGTAAAATTATGAGTGCCAACCACGTAAAATCTGGCCCACATTATCTTTTTCCCCCTCTTTAACTCCAAGGCTTAAATTAGGCACTATAATATATTAAAATCAAATATGTTCTAAGCAATGGGACAAAATCAGGCCAAGAACACACGTGGAGTGATCGAATTTAGGTACAGTTTGAAAGAAATGAGAGGAGGAGAGGAAGCTTGTCATCTATTGTAGACCCTGGACCATCACTGTCATCACAGCTGTTCCCAGCCAGTGTCCTAATGGCCTGCTCACCTAGTCCACCTGCCATGCAGGGAGTTCTGGGACGGCAGGGACCGTGAATTCATCTCAGAATTCTTGAGGC